GTGAGCAGCATTATAATATTCTAGAAATACCTAACCTTTACAACAGTAGAACAAAGTACCACATCTTGTAAGCGTGGATCACAACAGGAGGTAGATGCTGGCTTCAGATTATCTGCCGAGGAGTCGTGATTGCTTTGCCCCAAAATTTATCTTCGCAATCGGTCTTTAGACTACTTCTATGTACTCGGAGGTCATCCACAGAAAGTCGTGTTTCGTTAATAAGTTCTATTTAAATAGGCTCACTCGTATAATATTTAGCATTGACTTCACAAATGTCAAGCTCTCTGCATGTAGCAAGGAATTCCTTTTCTCCCTCTGTTGAAGTTGAACATTCCCGAATAAGGGAAAATTTCTTGCATGCAGGATCGTTGCATACAACACCACTTCAAACACATCTGCCGTAGTGGTCTAGTGGTCCTGGTTCAAGATGTTTGCCTCGAGGGTCGCCAAGTTGAATCCCGGATATGGCAGCCCCATCTCGATGGAGGCGAATCGCTATAGGTCTGTGTGTCTAGATTTAGGTGCATGGCAAAGAACACCAGATGATCATATTTTTTTTAGTCTTACATTACGGCATTCCTCAAAAGTAATATGGTGGTCTAGAGACGCGAAACCCCGAAAAATATTGTTTAAGCAAGCTCCACAACGTCGCACGTCTTCTGTGAGCCTACAAAATATCGTCTAGGGCTTGTGGTAGCATTTTCGGGTTGTTCGTTCAAAAGCTTGGCGCTGCGTGTAGTGTATTACTCTTTTTGAATATCATGCACTTGTTATGCACGTCACAAAAATAGCTAAAAAGAAATCATTCTCGGATATAGGTTGTGTCATTACGGAGGTTTCGGTATGAGATTCAGTGGACCAGCACCATACCGCATTTGTACTGATCGTAACAATGAATCGGTGGGCGGGCTTGGAAGCCTTAGAGTACTCCTGTTGAAAGCAGAATGTAGCCACTCGTGGAAACTTACTTTTAGCGGGATGGCTTAGTGCTCTCCCATAGTTGAGTGCGAAGTATACTCGAAATCGTTAAACATTTTTTTCTCCATAACACATAATCGTCAACCATTTTTTTTTCTAAACAAACATGATTGTCAGTTGACACGGAGGATGGCGCATCTTGGCTTGACCTGTCACGGGACGGCTTTATGCTCTCCCATAGTACTCTAAGTCGACGGCTTTATGCTCTCCCAAGTACTCCAAATCGACAACTTTTTCTGAACACACATTGTCGCCTGAGTGAGATCTATCGTACCTATAAGGTCTCGACGCCCGCGGGATGGCTCTATGCACTCCCATATAGTAAAGTACCAAGTACTCTAAATCGTTAACCACTACACACATTATTCGTCCGGCCGTGGTCCAGCAAACGCAGACACTAACATTATCGTAAACTGGCATGTGACGCATGAATTGGGGGGAAAACTACGTCACTATGCCCATCACTTGTCACTAAAAATGAAGTCGCCAACAGTTAGCCCAACAAACCTGCTGCGAAGTGATGGCAGTGAGCCGGAGATTTCGGGTACGTATGAGAGAATGCTTGGGAACGGGAAATGCAGCGGCCTGCTGTGAGGCGACCCCGATGCTACGGATGCCTACGTCAATGATGACCTGGAGCCTAGAAACAACCTGCGTCATGTGCCCAGAAACGACCTAGAAGCAACAGCATTAGTCTTCAAAACTGTTCTGTTTGGCTGCTTCAAGCGTTGCGTCGTTTAGTGAAAGCTTCGCCTTTTTGTGTGTGATTTCATAAGGAAAGTTGCTGTGAGACAAAAACAGTCGTTTTTGGTGCCATAGTTGCCTGCCGCCGGTGCTAACTGTATGAGTCCCTCCATCGACTGCGCCTTCGGAATTTCACGCATGGTGGGCTCCTTTATCCAATTTCACAGCGAAAGCTTTTACGGGATAAAAACAGAGTTTCGGTGCCGTATCTGTCCGCCGCCGTTGTCTGCAACTGCTATCGCGCGAAAGAAGAAAATCAAAATGGTATGAATGAAAATCACCAGCCCTTCGTGGTGCACAGCAGTCGTGATAACAGCCAGCAGCCGGTGTGCGGTAGTACATGCCTTTGCGAAGTCTTTCTCGAGGCGGAAGTTATCAGATATACTTGCGTTCCAGACTGACCGACGAGCACCTCCACGAGATTCTGCGTCTATCGTTGAGGAACCTTGATGTAGATATTTGCAAGTCGGAATGTTTGGTACCAAAAGTGCACTGAAAAGCTTTTTTTCTTTCGTTTGCTTCTACCCATCGTTTTTATGGAGTGCAACCTAGTGAATGCGTGCTGAAAATATTTCTGAAAGTAATTATGACCTTTTTTCAAGTTTTTGGGATCTTGATCGATTCACAAATTTTTTTTTTGTTTTTGCCTCCGTTTATCTGCTGTAGAGTCAATCGCACACGACTCCGACGCGCAAGCGTCTCCCTTGTATCTCGACTGATGCAAGAAGGGAGACGCTAGCATCGCATTCCATTCGGACCGACTCTGCCTCAATATGGGCAGAAGCTTTCCACGAACGCACTTTGAAATGTACAAAGTGTCCTCCAAACTCCTTTCACATTGCATGAGAAAGCGCTTACAAACACTGGTGGCGGTGACAGCGGTGTACTTCGTTGTTCTGATGGGAGAAGGTCGGAGGATTTCGTGGCTGACGGTTGCCTCGTCCGCGATGTCATCTCTTCGACAACTGCATGCACCGATTGGGGCCCCGTCCACAAACTTCTCTACCCATCTCACAATCTTTTACTCTTCTCTCAACCTTCACCTCATTCTCTTTTAACTCCTCCTTATATCCCTTCTCTTGTGAGCTATACTGCTGAGGTGTCAACCCTTGATGCAGACAGTTTTGCAGTTCACTTTTTATTTTTCCTATTTAATTATCACCCTCTCCCTGGGGGTTGTGATCTCACAACAGCTTTTCATCGTAAAACAAGCTGCTTCATATTATAATGGAACGTAGTGTCAGGGATTCATCAAATTTGCGCTACAAGTGACGTGGCCACCTTGACCCCGTGCTTTCAAAGGTGCAAGGAGAGTAACAACTAGTGTGCGAGGCGTAGTTGCGAAAGCAAACTGCTTGCGTAATTAAGGGGGGGTAGTGAATAAGGGGAACGGCCTTTGTTTTGGTGGCGAAAACAATAGCGTCACGCAACGCCCGCTATGACGTAGCACGCCTGGCACTATACCAAGCCTCGTTGTGTCGCGCCCGCACCCCTTTTCTTGCTCAATAAAGGGCGCGATGATCTTGGCGGGATGTGAGGGTCGTAAGACTTGGCAGATTCACTGAAGTGTCGCATCGAGGGCCCTGAAATGGTGTTCGCCAAAGCTAGTTGTTCTATAGGGAGCATTGGTTTGAACAGCGCGGGAACTTTAAACGAGGGTAAAGAAAAAGACAAGAGCATCGTTGTATACCAGCAAATGATAATTTTTATTTCTGTGTGTGCAGCTATATGAATTACAAAACACGCACTTGCTTTGGTGACCACCAACAGATATCTAGCAGTGGTTGGCACCTAGCGTCGTTTCCACGAAGTGGCTTTCTCCATGTGAGGGTGATATATCAAGCTTCTTTTCTTGTCAGAATCACTGACGCTGCACTGACGCACGTGCTACCTTCTTTCTGGATCTCTATGGCTTCTTTTATTTCGTGCTTGAGTTTGTTTCCTATATATTCTCGCATTGCTTTAAACTACAAAGAAAATGATACAAGGCCGCCATGGAACTATTTTAGACCGAACCACCAGATCAAAGACGCTTCAGCGTCACTTAGATTACAGGATTGTACTTCAATCCAGTAGCACTTGCATATTGGTTTTCGACGCTTTTATATATATGTTTGAAACACAAAAGAACGCGCTCGAGGTGTTTGCGTTCTTTGATATAGTTTCCGTGTCTGGGTGTGTGTATTATGCAGCCTAAACACGAATTGCTTATTTTTTTAAGTTCATAACATTTTAGGGGTCCATCTTGCCGTCCATCACCTCGTGTGACATGGTCACGCAGTGGTTGATCTAGGCCTAAAATGACGCTAAGCTCAAAACGAATGCAACATATAATAAGAATGTCTGAAATAATAGAAAAGACCCTACTAGCGTGGAATAAATCGCAGTATTTGTCTTAAAACTGCGAAAAGCGATTTTGAGACACGCGGCTGGTACTTGCGCCACGCAAGAGAGGGCGCAACTGTCGTGGCAAGTGTGCGTTTGACGAGCTCCTGTCAAGCGCCCTGGCGGATCACTGGGTGTCCCGGGCTCCTTCAATTTTCGTGGTAGGGCAGCTGCATTGAGCGTGGGATTTAGAACTACACCAAAACCCACATGAAAACGACATTTGGCAAGATCTTTCTCTGTAACTTTATTTGGCGATTGTAGGTGTACCTTGAAACAACCAGCCCTGGTGAGGCCTGAGCCCCTGATTCATATGGCATCTTTCAGTAGTAACAGTTCAGTAGGCGCAGATCCACGCTCCACGACGCTTCAGCGCGCTTCAGTGTTGATTAGACTTCAAGACTAACCCGCCGCGGCGCACTATAGTGAATGTACTGCTTGAGTGCTCGCGTGGAGGTCATGTGATCGAAACCCGGCCACGGCGGCCGGATTTTGGTAAAGAAATTTGTGGGCTTGTATTCAGGTGAACATTGAAGAACTCCAGGTGGTCGAAATTTCCGGAGCCCGTCACTGGGTGCCTCTCATAATCATACCACGGTTTGCGAGCTTATGAAACACTAACAAATGCTCATTTTAGATTTTAAGATTATGTTTAAATTGGGCTACATTATTACTATTTTAATTTTTCTCTCAATCTGAATAGTTAACATTATGAAATGTACCTGGAATTAGCCAACCCTACCGGATCCAGAGCCTCTATTGCGCATCATCTTGTTCCGCTGAAGTTTTGTCCTGCAGGAAAAACTGAATTCTGTTCTAAAGGGACCGATTCTTTAGCCAATCAGTTGTTATGAAGTAAGCGTGTCTTGATACGCCGGTTGTCTTCTTTTCAGCACTCGTCGTACGGTTCCTGACGAAGAGGTACATAGGAGAATATGACCACCAAACAGGTAAGCTATCCACGTTTCAGGGAAGGATAGCGTTACCGCGCATGAAACAGCTATCGATGGAACTATAATTGATGTCATTTGGCACACACTCTCGAGAAGTTTGAACCAGTCTAAAGACAATGTATAGATGAGACGGGAAACAAACACAAGCACAGCAATAACTATAGATTGAAGACACCCATCTCCTAGGAAGGCAGGTCGAGCGTGCACAGCTCAGGAGACCTGACAAACACCGTGAATACAGATAGGGAGATAGATTAACTAACCTGCAGCTAACCAATAGGGAGATTACTTTACTCTGCATCATGTGAATGGAAGGAAACCTGATGCAACTACCTATTGATATGCTGATAAGGTTCGAGAATTTCAGGCTCCACTAGACTTCATTTAGCATCACTTCCACCGAATAGGTGATGACTGTGTTTAGAAGAAATTTTCGGCGATTTAGAGCCCGATGTACACTATGGGAGAGCAATACGATGATTGTGCTCTCTGGTCGCAGAGTGCAAATTCAAACTCGAAAATTTTGGTGCTGATAGGCGAGTTTCAATGAGAAATGTTCGTGGCCGTCTTAAACAGCGGGGTTTTAGGCAAGTATTCATAGAGTCTGAAATTTGAATTTATTGTTAGGTGCCATACGGAAGCATATTGCAGTGGATGAAAATAGCAAGCAAAATATAAGACACCAAACATATAAAATATTGATGGTCATTAACACTCAAAATCTTGAATATTAGCCCTATCCCGACTGGTAAGTTTGTTAATCCTGGTTTATAAAATATTGATGCGTGTGCATGTCTCTCAATCAATGTATCCACCTTTTTTTTTATTCTGTGCAGAAAACAGGTACAAAAGCGAGATGATGGTGGATGGCGAGCCTGTTCTATTTGAAATACTGGACACCTGCCCAAGGGTGAGTAAATAGCAGCAGTGCATTATCCAAAGGAAACTTATATGTGCCTTTTCTACGCGACTCCATAGAGGTATATCAGATAAGCTCATATGACATTTTTCGGTGGCAGGATTTTTCTCAAAACATACACAGATATGCCTGCGGTTCCATACTGTTTTCATTCATTCTGAAAATACACAATCGATTGTTTGTTTAAAGGGGCGGACATAGCGGCACGGGGAAATACTGGCACTGCTCTGAGGTGGAATACTCAAGTGCCTCACAGAAGATCTCGGTTCAACTCCAGCTCGGGTCTTAATTGCTATTTTTCGCGAACATGGACATATTCCACTAAAGGACACCGCGTTTTAGCGGCTCGAGCTCTTTGACGCTACCGAATTGAAGTACACTAGATCGCCTTTTTTCGAATGAGAACTTCGTAAAAAAAAGGAAAAAAAAACTGTTTCATATGTCATCGCGTTTTTTCACGAAGCGTGGGCAGCTTTCACTCTTAATTCTTTCGATGACTGAAATCCTCCTAAATATTTCTTATCTTTGTGCTCAAAAAGAATATATGAGGGGAAAGAAACTTTTAAAAAGTAAAAAAGAAATGAGATTTCTCCATTCTCCGCTCGTGGTTTGGAATCCGCCGCTAATCTTCTCAAAGCTCTCTTCTCCTTGATTTCAAATCCTCGGCCAAATAACGAGGATGACCTGGGTTTTTCGAAAACCCCATGGTCCGTTCCCGAGTTCTCTTCATCGAACGCCATGCAATCAAGAAAGGAGATTAAGAAGAGCAGAACCGTTCTTTGTAAGGCGCTTTAAGAGCGGGCAGTATAGTGCTGCTGTAGTTGGTGAAAGGAGCAAGAAGAGTGACAGCGTGTGGAACCACACAAAGGAGCTTGCTGAGGGATTAAGCGACATTGCGGAAAGGTGCATCTGTTGACATTAATCCCCATTTCTCTTTTGGACAGTCTTTCCTCCTTATACCTTTTAGGGAAAAAAACTCAGAAAGAAATGAAATAATTACAAACTGCACATTTTTTTATTTACACAATGTTTGAACAAGTCCCTGCATCGCTTTATGGTGGAACAAAAGAGTACCCCTAACAATGTGATTCGGAACTTTGTCGATGATGTAAGAGTCTATACAGAGCAAATAAATACAATACAACAAGCAATGTAAACAGAATGCAATTTCAGCGCTCGTTTTCATCGTTTTTCTTTCTCCCGTGTGCTTTTCTCACCGTAACATCTCGTGATTATCTACGAACCCGCCTAAGCTGACTTTTAAATAAAATGCAGTGTTGTTCCCAGTTTGTAGTTCGTTTTCTAAGAAATCTGTAGATCACTTGGTTATGGCAAATGCATGTACGAACGATCAAACTGGGCAAAAAGGCAAAACACAAATCGAATAATGGTATTCACTTGCGTTTCGTATGCTATTTTCTATTGCAGGCGAATAAAACAATCTAGATACTTAAAAAAAAACTGTGTTTAGCAGTTGTATAATGCACATATTTCTTTTATATTTCAGGATACTTGTCCAGCTTGGTTTGATTTAGGCTGTTATGTTTGTCATTATGTGAATATTTTATACTACTCATGTTACATTACTTTGGTATGAAATTTATGATGTATTATGCATTGTCATTCGTATTGCTGGTGTTGATTACCAACAAGAGCGGGAGCGCCTTGTTAGGCCTTCGTACCCTTATGTTTTGTGAGTTGCGCGCAGCCCAGCGATTACACTGGTGTGGAGGCTGAAAAAGGGGTTGAGATGCAGCAATTTGAATTCGGGGACCCGAAATTTGAACACGGGGACCGGATTTCGGTGAACAAAATGTGCTGTAGGCGTATCGTCTGGTCTCTGGCTCTCTTATGTTTTTTTCAAGGGGCATGTTCGCCCAATGAATGGGTATTTTTTTCAGCTATGCGCCTGGCTTGCCTATGACTCGAGCACGGAGACAACGTCACAACATGAAACTAGTTCCCCTCGTCTGACTATAGTGTACTAGAATGTGGGTACATATAGTACATATTGTAGTACACTATAGTCTGACTGGAACTTGCTGTCGGGCTAGCCGGCAAGCCGCAATAGTAAAATAACTACACACAACAGACTCTCCGTTCACGGACATATCCGCATGCAGATAAAGATTTACAGGTCCTTTATGCATTCGCGTGAGACAACCGAATCGCGAATGCCATTTTATTTATCTAATTAATCTTGTCTTTACATTATTAGTCGATTGCATTGACTGCCACCCCCTTACCACAAAAGCTTTTGAAACTTCACGTCATTCATTAGCACTACGTTTAGACCAGCCGCAATTAGACCAAGTGTATATGTGGTGTGGTGACGTCATATCATGACATCACAAATTTGAGCGACCTGTGACACTGTGACGAAGTCACATGCCGACGTCATCACGCAATGACATATATATTTTTTTGCATCAGTTCACGCTAGCCCTGGTGCTTCCGACGGACATTTTTCTTGTTTGATGAATAATTTAGGCCTTAGTAGTTGGCACCACTTAGCAGAAAGAGTGGCCAAGGAGTGCTTTGAGGGAGTTGTAAGTTCAGCCTAATTGATTCCTTTATGATGAAGTGCTGCATATATTTGGTGCCTCTTCAGAGTGAGGACGAGCTTCCCCGGGACGAGATCCTACAGTGGGCGGATGGCTTCATGCTCGTCTACTCCATCGTGGACCGGGCCAGCTTCCGTTACCTGGGCCTTCTGCGACGCCACCTGAACAACACGCTGCCGAACCTGCACAGGGCGGTCACGCTATCCAACACGGGCGGTGGCCCTGCAGGTGCGGGGGGTGGTGGTGGCGCCCACCAGCCGCAGACGCAGCAGACACCGGTGCCGGCGCCAGTCTGCATCGTGGCCAACAAGGCCGATCTCATCCACCTCAGGCAGGTGAGGGTGCCATCGAAATGTACACACTTACGAACGAACACGAGTGAGACTATTTCTTTAACCAGATAGGCAGTCGTGTGGCACGCTTCAGCCATTGTGGCAGATATCCCGGAATATTCACCTTTACCGCAATTGTCTTGAAGTTTGCACGGCGATGCCTCTTGCATAAAATGAAAAGTGTAACTTCTTAGGTTATACATATAGGCATCGCATATAGCTCTCTGTTACACAGAAACTTTACACCACTACGTAGCGTATGACGGTCCTTGATTTCGTCTTGATAGGTGAGCACGGAGGAAGGCGAGATCCTGGCCAAGGGTGCAGATGATGGTTTCGTCGAGCTCACGGCCTCCGAGCAGGTGCACCAGGTGGCGCAGGCGTTCGCCGACCTCTGCCGCGACGTCTACGCCCACAGGAGGCGCTCCAAGCAGTCGCTGCTCGACCGGGTCTTCTTCGCCGGTGCCAAGGGCATCGCTGCAAAGGCGAACGACCCCGCTGGAGGGCGCAAGTGAAAAAAGACGTCACACTGTCGGCTCGGTCTCCACGTCTGTGGCATTGTTCATATCGTTTTTTTTTATTTATTTCTCTGTAAGTCGGGATACATAGATACTTAGAAGTTTTCTAACAAGAATCAAAGATAAGTGTTTTGTTGTGTTCGGAGTCAGGATAGATTTCGGCAAGATAGAATTGCCCATTGAATCACGAAAATGGGCAATCGGAAGCTTGCGATTCGGGACTTGAACGAAGAATTCGGAAATGTAAATTTCGCACGTGCTTGCATTTCTAGAGTGAGGTAATGGTGTCATGGGCTGAAAGTTTTGTTGAGAGTTCATAATTCGAAGTTCCCAGACAATGACCGATATTGCAGGCAGGGTCTACTAAAGTTACAGAGCATAGCACAGAATTTGATCTACTGGTCATGTACGTCGGCCATTAAGCGAAAGATGGGAAATTTGCAAACCCTTCAATTTTCGCTCAGTGAAGAGCAGCTCAGTAAGTGGACTTCCTCATGGCGTTGCTTGCGAGAAAATTTGAAATTAGTTTTACTACTGGTCTGCGTTTCTGTCATGTGGAGGCTGACAAACAAAAGTCGTACTGAATTTTATTGGGTGGATATGAGACCGCACTTAGTTAAATGGTTTTTTTATTTGTTTGAGGAATTTTACTATTCATGCACTCTGCACTTAACAGAAGGGTTATATGTGTTTTATTTATTGTTGTGACTATGAAACGGTTTTGTACAGATAACAAGCGGGATAAAAAACTCAGAGCTATCCTTCGTTTTAAAAATTTCACTTCATTGAGGTTTATCACCATATTGAACTGCATGTCTTCGAGCAGAAGTGCAGTAGGAAGCAGAGACACAGTAAGAAACTCTTTTAGTTCATGTAAGTTGTTGCGTCTGGTGTCCTTGCCTCCTGCTCTGCTATGCTCAAAGTCAGTCCCTGAATAAGTCCTCATTGGTACCCTTGTCGGCATATACATTGAAGCTATGCACATGTGATATGCAAAATAAGTAAAGCTGCGAGCAATATAAAACGAGAAGTAGGCAGCACTTGCACATATCTAAGGGTGCGATACTATGTGGTGAAGCAATACACCACTTTTCATTATGAATGCAAAGAGCTAATCACATTTTCTTCCCATATTTATGAAATATTGAAGCAGCGAATGCCGTCAATCGTCATTGGGAATATGAACACAGCAATTAGCCGTCTTGCATGCCAGTTTTACCAGTCGTAATAGATTTCAGGATACACATTGCCAAGGGTGGACGCACATGAAAGGGTAAAGGGAATGATGGTGGATCAAATGGTATCATAAGATAATCTGTAGAAGATAAATATAAAATTTGAGGCATATTAGGCAGGCATTATGCTTATCTGACAAGAATCATGAGCATGTTTCTTTTTATATGGACAAAATAGCAATGACAAGTACAAGGAAATGAATCAATCTATTTATTGGTTCCAACCACAAGAATTCGTAGCATAGAAGGTTCTCCAGCTTTTAATTATTATTAGCTTTCTGATTCTTAATATTGTCACTGTTGTTGTGATGACACTAATTGTTGCAAACAAGCCATTGACAGTCTTCTATACCTCTGGATAATGGTGGGAAAAAGATGTTAGTGCCAAGAAGTACTCGAGAAGTTCGAATCTAACAGTGAGCAGCACAGCTGAATAATGCACTGTCAGCTATGACAATCAGCAATGTTTTGATGCATGTTACTTCAACGTCCCCGACAACGAAGGAAAGAGGCCGTGAGACAGACATGTAGCTCGATATGTGCTTGCCACGATAGCAGCGACATTGTCTGGCAATACACACTTCACTCGATTTATTTTCCGTATTAAGATGACCACAGATTCTAGGCACTGACGTGCCACAATCAAGAATTCCTTTGTAATATTTATTCGTGCTTGTTTTGGAAGAATGCAGCAAGGTTGTGCCCATTGTCCACACTCGACCTACGGCAACTAGAAGAAAATCCATGATGTTTTAAAATATGTGTGAAACATTCATCGGAAGTGTCCAAAATGGGGGAATGCCTTTTATTGAACAGTGTACTGCCGCCCTGAAATTTGACATCCTTCCATCAGGGCTATTACGAGAATTTACTCATTCAGCGACATTCAGTGGCAGCATGAGTGGCAATGAGCGCTTGACATCGTTTTTCTTTTTTTGATGTCATTTGAATGGTGGCCGCTCGATTTGTAATATATGCTGCGGCCACAATTTTCCACAGAGCCACTGTTATGCAGGAGCTGACACACAACAAGATTTAAATTTTGGCATCGGTAGTCATTATTATCGGAAAACTATGCTGACTGTCGCGACATCTGACGTGCTTTTGCGGATTTAAATTGTTGACTGTCTGTTTGTGGCATCAGAAGAAGTACATTGAAGAAATGAATGTTCTTGAAGAGGATGTGCTAGCAGAGACAACGGTTTGTCAAGTGGTCTTGTAGTGTTCAAGGGATTGTCATCTAGAAGGCATTTTGCTGAAACGGTAGCCTCCAGCCACACCCAGTCTTGAAGCCTCCATCTTTAGAACTTCTGCATTGCATGACAGAACTAAATTTTGTTGAGGGTAACTAATAGCAAGAACATTCAGAAAGCATGTAGAAACGCATAGCTGACAAAAATTTTCTTTTAAAGTGTAGGTGAAGTCTGCCACTATCCGAATAATCTCAGTTCATGTTTTCGTTTGATGATGAAGCCGTAAGCTTCAGGAGTTCCCTGATAAAGAGGTTGAGTATTTGGTTTTAGGATAGTGGGCCAAAAGCGTTCCACATTATTATTTTTCTTGGTCACTCGTTCTTAGGTGGTTGTACGTGAGAAAAAAAATTGTTTGCGGTCAACTCTTCATCGCAATATCGTCTCAAGTCTTTGGAAGATGTCATTTAGATTCGTCGGTGCACACACTAGCGCACAGCAGCCGTGACCCATGCTCAACACTTTACATCCACCCACTCTGCATCACAATCTCGAGATTGTACCTGACGAAATAATGCAGCAAGAAACGTGTGATGTGAACACGCGTCCATTCTCATCTAGTCTAGGCATCCACTCCTTTCGCAAGGCTGGGGAGTGGGCCTTAGTCTACCCCTGACACGCGGGCACTGTGGAGTCATTTACTGTAAGGGGATATCTTCCAGGAAATTGTTGATGCGCTGTGACACATGACAATGAAGTATCTCCATCCCGACAATGTTACTCTATGGGAAAGCAGACCAGGCCTCTGCTATTTCAAGGTAAATATTTTTTTTTCACACACAGCGTGTACAACTCAACAATAGAGCCCTCAACAAAGGCTTCGTTAGTGCCGCCTAATCCCCGCTGTGATGTTGTAGGTATGATTTATCCCCTAAAATGCACTGCCGATCAGTGACGTCACTCCTTGTACTGCCTGCATAATGTCCGCTAGCGTTGCCACGTTGAATTCTGGCAGTGTCATCTGCGCTATCGATAGCGTCGTGTATTACTTGGTGCGCAGTGGGTGCCGCCTTGAAAAGCCCCGTCTACAACTGTGTGATTTCATAAAATCAGCTCTCTTGCCGATTTAATGGGCAATGGCTCTTCTTTTTTCATTATTTGTGGGGGCTCACTATTAAAACCAGAGCTAATAATGGAGGCCACAAACCACCCGAAGTACTTAGTCCCATGTCGTGTGTCCTCGGCGCAACTTCTTTCTGCAAACATTCTGGCAGAGTAGGAAAAAGGAGTTTAATGCAGAGTACTTTACTTTTTGCCCACGTGTCAGGGGTATTAGCCATTGTCTTGAATATGTCTTTACAGCTCACAGACAAACATGCAATTTACCCTAGAACGTGAAGGGATTTTACTAGTGCTCACGCCTCTTGCTCTGCCCGCACGTGAATGAGTCCATTGTCAACGCACTCATCACCCGTTATGTTACGAACACTGCAAGTTTTTTTGTCTTCTGTGATTTTCAATGGCTATCATCATGTTTAAAGGGAGGTGATGTGCTTATTGCTAATCACTCTTCGAATGCGCACTGACAAGACCATGCACGATGTTATATGCACTTTGATGTTGTTTTTCACTTTATTCTGTTTACTATAGTCATTGTTGTGATGCGTTTATTGTAAGTGCTTGCTCTCAGGTGAGTATGTATGGAAGTTGTCTTATTAGGATGACAGGTAAAATCATGAGAGATGGCCAGCTGCTCACAAAAATAACACCCAAGCACCAGTAGGGTTCAGAAAGCCTTGGGCAGCACAAACCCATTTTTTCGTGATTTCGGTGATGAGCACTGATTGAACACTTTTTGGTGACACATTAGTACATAGTAACAGATTGATGTTTTCCCCGGTGTTCTGCAGTACCTCGGGATTTTCGCCATGATTTTGTTTCAGATTGCTACGGTGTGTCCTCGAAGTTTTCACTATTCAAGAAATTTTCTTATGTGCGATGGTAGCATTATCTTGATGTGCATTTTTTCAATGCACTAGCAATCAGTTTTCATGCACCTTGACTGGTGTCTCATTTTTATTTACTTTGCCATTAAAGTTACGACCTCAAACGAATCGGCAACATTTTATTGATCAACCCACAATACTGCCACAAGAAACAAAATACAAAATATTGTGCCAAGTCGTGCGTGTCATGCACAAGCTATAACGGATTACGTGACGATTGAAATACGACTAGTGCTTCTTATCGTGTACTTTTATATATTTAACAATTTTGATGTGTCGTGTCTGCACTTGTGAGGTTTGCGCCTGCGCATTGCACATGGACACTGAATGGGACAGCATTAGTGCTTCGATTCTCTGTTGTTATTACTGTTCATTGCGATTAAACAAAGTGGCTATTTCATGCGATGCATCCCACGTGGAAAACTAAGTGACACAGTTAACAGCAGCTTGAATCTCTACAGAAAGATCACTCTATGTTATTTGTTTAGTTGCCTGTGTCAATACAGTGTGGGTGCGTGCACTTTTTTAGTAACGTCTTTGTGGATCTAGATCAACATTTTTTGTAGACTTGGGAAGTGCCAGTGTTTTCGTATGCCAGGTTTTTTGAAAACATAAACTATGTGTCCCATAGGAGGCGGAGTGTGGCAGCAGGATTCGATACTATCAACAGAGAGGAAGCTCTTGAAAACTGCGACTGCAGTTCAATAGTCCTGTATCTTCTTCCTGTTAAAAATAAGTTCTGAAGCGGGCCGGGGAGAAAGGGCCGTGTCCTTAGGTGTCATTCAGAAAAATCTAGCTGCCATGGATCAGGGGACTGAATATGGCCAGAACTTCAAGAACAATTTCTTTTGAGGAACTCGCACCGAGTACTTGAGTTTGAAAAACCCGACTTAGCTTTTGTATCTCGTGTGAAAATACATGCTCTCAATCAGTGAACCAAAGGCCCCCTTCACAATGGTCCATAGTGATGCGAAGGCCTTGCGATTTTTGGCACATGTGTTAATGTGCATATTCATAAACCTAAATGTAGGTGTATTCTTTCCCATCTCCTCTAAGACGTAAATACGCAGTTTTGATGTTTACTTGCTCTGAACAGGTTGTTCTCTAGTCAGTCGATAATAATATATGCACTTTTTCATTTGTACAGGGCACACAGTTTTGCCGTTTTGTCATGTATGTGACTTCTGTACGTAAAAATGCATTTAGGTGTTCAGTGCTGTTTTATATATGCGTGTTGTACTTTTGAGCGTTCGTGAATCAGGGCTTTTTTGAACTTGTTGTGGAGGACACGTAGTACGTACTTGCACACTCCTCGTTTGCGCATGTAGTAAATAGA